GGTCAAATTGTAGTTAGTCTACTTAAAATGATGGCTTATACTATAACAACATGTAGACTAATATGTTTTATTAAGCGGGCCTCTGTTTGAACCCTCTGTACTAAGACTAAGATTTAAAATAATAATAATATACTTACTACATCTTTAACTAGGCCTATAGGTATAGGCTATAGGCCTGGGCCTAATTATAAAATTATAGGCCTACTGGAAAATAGTCAACTAGAATCTAGAATCTAGATCTAGATTCTAGATCTACATTTAGAAGATACTAGATCTAGATATTAGTCTCAGATGTCCCCAAACATCAGATCAATCATCTACGCCCTAGTTACGAATTGGAGCAAGTCATTTATTGTTCAGAGCCTCCACCAGTTATAGACCTATCTTGTGACAAACAACAGTATCGATTTCCAGATGCTGTGTGGGGTGCCAACGTTCTTACTTCTTACGCAAGGAAACGTAACACGGCCGTTTGCTCTCATTCATTCAGCCCCGGCCTACCTGGGCCACACATTACATCACATGTCGTCACAGAAACACAGCGGCCACAGTAGCAGTCGAGAATGCGAACATAACAACATGACGGCGAGGTGTGGGGAAACTGGCGGGGAGGGTCGAGTTGGAAATGAATCTCAGGCAAGGGCTAGGGGATTGATTTGAGTATTTGAACTGAATAACTTCACCATAAACTTAACAAAAACAGTAGATCTACAAACAAAAACACCGCCCTACCCTTCTTCAAGATACGAAGCATAAAAAGGTGAAGGAAAGGTGCCATAGCTCCACTCGATTCAAATCATTACTTACCCGTCGATGCCGCTTTTTCTGAATATAATCAGCCTGGAAAACATGATCGCCAACGGCCCTTACATCCACATTCATTGAATCCACAGCTGCCATCATGTAAGTACTGAACAAATAAATCAAGACGTTTTCAAATGAATACCGGTACTACTTGATAACACGCCAATAGACGGTCTATCGAGCGGTACACGGTGTTTTCAGTTTTGTTGTGTCACGTTGTCTCTCGCTTCGGTTTGTTATGTTGCGGTTTTCCAACAACCAAGGCATCGCCGCTTTCAGATCGCAGCGAGCCAATGAAAAGGCGAGTTACTGGTGTCGCTTCGGAACCTGTCCACCAATCCGCGATCGCGCCTAAACCCGACAGCTGCACAGCGTGACCTGTGACCTATGAACTAGTGACGTCAACTCGAGTTTCGAAACCAAAACAATACTCTGAGTCACGTGACGATTGGAATATCCTTGGCTAAAAATAGCCATCATCCTTGGTTCGTTCGTGAAGCATCGAGTGAAACGCGCGGCTTTACTCAGTTCTATTTTTAGACCTGGGCTTTTCTGCGCAGTCCGTTTCGAACCATGTCTTTCGTGGTTTACATGCGCAGTTGCTTGAGCGTAAAAGTGAAATGAGTCGTGAAAAATATGCCTACTTTGCATTAACATTTTTGTGCGTGATGAGGAGATCGTAAAAATGTCTCAGGCGAGGGCATTTGAAAAGAAAGACATGATAATGAGAGCGAAAGGCGTAACATATAATATTAAAATTGAGAACTTCAATGTTTGTGTGTGTGTGTGTGTGTGTGTGTGTGTGTGTGTGTATGTACGTATGTGTGTATGTAAGTATGTATGT